AAAGAATATGTGACAGTCGTCCTCAGTGGAGCCCAAAGGATGCGCGGCAAAATCGGTTGTCGAGCCGAAGGAGCTGAACGTGGATCCTCGGGTTCTGCTTCTCTTTCAGGGTGTGCATCCATGGTAGGTCGATATTCCCAACTGATGTTGGCTTCCCAGACAGTTTGTGTTGCTGCGACGTACGAAGGACAGACGTGCTTGGAGTTCGCGGCCGTGGCGTGGTCGTTTTTTGCCCCTCCAGACAGCATACACCCCCGTTGCAACTGATCATTGCCACCTGCCGAGTGCTTAACCATTTGGGGGCATTGGAAGATTCCTATAATGCCCACTGGAAGTTGTCCCTTGCCGATGCGGTAAAGGTTGTTCGTCAAGAGCTGTGCGGCCCAGGTCGTCAAAGGTGGAGAAGGGCTCGATACCTCCGCTGAGATGCCAAAAAATCCGTAGCTGGGGAATTGCGTAGGGATGCCCTGGGAATTGGCTCCCCAACCTGCTGGGCGAATAAGTTGTTCGCTGACGATTTTTGGGATGGTAGACCATTCGGTTTTGTGATAGATGGCGTAGGTGTCGTTGCTTTTTGAGCTGAAAGGAGGTTTGAGTGGAAAGTCGGTTGGCACAGGCAGTGGTGAGAAGACGGTTGGGGTGATCGACAAAATAAGCTTCCGTTCGGCGGGCCAAATCGGTGTCCAACATCTTGGCTTGAGCAAAGCACAAAGAGATGTTCTTAACGAGGTTGGTGTCCACGCGAATCCTGATCTTCGAGCCATTGGAAGTAGTAAACTGTTTGGCGAGTGCTTTGTACATCTCGTCCTGAAACTGTTTTAGAGCCCTTTGGTCAGAACGAGTCAGCTCTGTGGCAAGGTTCCAGGGGTGGTCAGGGCCGAGGTCGTGAGCAGCAAGAGTGCGGTTGGGATCTCTGGCGGCTTCTTGGTACTCGTGGATCCAACTTTCGGATTTTTGGAAAGAAGGAATAGGCGCCGAGCCGGGGTCCTGGTTGGCGTCCATGTCCGAATCACTTGTTTCGCCATCCGGGACGCGAGAAGCAGTACTGAAGGGGGTGGCTTGGGATGCATGTGAATCCGGAACAGGTGAATGTGGTCGTTCAAGAGAAGTTGGGGGTGCGGTTGGAAGTGGAGATGGAGGTGGAAACTTTGGAGGTGGTGCTGGGACTCTGGGAGCTTTGGGAGTGAGTGTAATTGTAGGTCGAGAGATGCTGCGGAGTTGAAGACGTTCAGCACGGAAGTCAGGACGATCAGGACGGCGTTGACGAACAGGAGAACGTGACGTGGAGAGCGGCGACGTTCTGGGCTGGGAGTTCTGCGGTGTTTGTGATGAGCATGTGAAGAGTAGTGTCGGCAATGATGTGAGCGTCGTTTGGAACGAGAGCGGCGTGGAGGGGCACGGTGATGACTTTGATGTCGATAAGGTCGAGCCAAATTTGTAGTTGATCGACGTGGTGAACGAGGTCAGGTCCTTGGTTGCGGTGAACGTGATTGATGTGGTGAAGCGTGACGGTGGTGTGAGGAGGTCTGGGGAAGTGGAGCTGAGCGGGTTTGCTGAGGAGTCGGTGTAATTGTGCGGCTGGCCCGTCGACGTGGTGGGCGATGAGGTTCGTCCTTGTGAGGTGGTGGTGTAGATGTTGAAGAAGGTGTAGCGGTGGAGGAACGTAGCGTGGCTTGTAAGGCGGTCGTGAATTGGTTCAGGCGCGAGTCCAAGAGCTTGTTGATGTCTGCCTTCATCTTGGTTGTAGTGAGCCGTAATGGAGTTCGTTTGACAGGTTGTGGCTTCGAAGTGGCAGAGTCAGGTGGTGGTGTGCCAGCAGGTGGTGGTGTCTGAGGTGGTGGTGTAGAGCCTGGAGTAGGTGTGATAGGTCCTGATCCTGGAGCAGGCGGAAATGGTGGTCAGTGTGGAATTGGATGAGGGGATTGTGGAGCTTGATCTGCAGTCGGCGTAGATGAAGGGAGCCAGGAAGGGCGTTCCGGGAGGCGTCGAATAACATGCAAGAAGAGTTGGGCAGCCTGTTCCAGTGTCGAGGGCGGTTCTGGGGGTGGTAGTCCAAAATGTGCAGGTGGATGGGAAACTGGCTGTTGTGGGTAGTGGTGAACTTCAACAGGTGGAAGTGGAATATCTCGGTGAGGTGGAATCGGAGTTGGAAGTCCAGGAGCATGTGCATGTGGGAGGATACTGGTAGAAGGCGGCCATGCGGAGAAATGGTGTCCCTGCGCAGGCAACGTAAATGTTGCTGGTGTAGAGCTTGTCGAGGATCTCCACGTCGAATGCAGTGCGGGCCACATGAGGTCGAAGAGCGGAGTGTAAAAACAAATGCAATACATGAAATTCCAATCGAAACCATCTTGTGGTAAAGGGATTCAGTTCCAAGTTAGTTACCAGATCGTGCGTTGTTCCCATTACAGGATCGAGGTCGGTCCACCCACAAGTGGGCACGTAACGGCTACCAAATCTTCCGAATTGGGTGCACAACTGGTTTAACCTCACCAGAGACCAAAAAAGGACCATACCTGCAGGAAGAGGACATGCCTGTAGCACATGTTGCTGTGCCGTTGCAGTCACTTGAGCATCACGATAAAAAGAAGGTTTTCACGGCTGCCAACTGCACACTCCGAGAAAAAATGAAGCCAGGCACAGCGGCACATCGTTCAACACATCGATCGACGTTGTGAGACTCGAAAAAAAGCCGACTGTTTCACTTTACTTAGATGAATTACCAGGTTAAAAGTGCCAATTCAGTAGTCAAGCCGGTGTAAAGTCTCCCACAAAGGGGGTTCCCTCAAATGGGTCCATGGCACCATGTCGGAACAACCATGGAGATAACACTAGACAAGAACTGGATCCATACTTGGATCCGTCGGGAACTGAATCCCTTGCATGCAAAACCAGAGAAGAGAATGAATTTGGGGAGTCCTCCATGGAGTAATCCTCAGAATAATGGTGAAGAATAATGAAGGTCATGTTCCCGAAGCCCTTACCAGAGGTTTCCAAAATGCATCCATGCCCAATACGGAAAGTAGAATAGCCACCTTATCGAAAAAGACCAAAGGATTCATGAAGTGCATGATGTAGGGTTCTCGGTTCTCGGCTTAGCCCTGTGCCACGTCACTGTAGGATAAATAAATAAATAAAGTCATGGTGGGGGTTCTCGGCTTAGCCCCTTGCCACAAGATCGGACTTGAAAAGGTTGTACGTGACTCCAGCGTCCCAGAGTCATATCAGTCATGATTGCAGCCCTCTTCGTTGGGCAATCAGCTGCAAACGTGAGATTGCCCCCCTGCTAAAAGAAACTTCCTGAAAGATAGAGGTTTTACCTCTGTTCAGACGTTCCACACATACATACATACATACATACATACATACATACATACATACATACATACATACATACATACATACATACATACGTACGTACATACGTACATACAAACATACATACATACATACACATACATACATACATCCATCCATACATCCATCCATGCATGCATGCAAACAAACAAACAAACAAAGAAACAAACAAACAAACAAACAACATACATACATACATACATATATACACACACATACATACATACATACATACATACATACTTACCTTACATTACATTACATTGCATTACATTACATTACATTACAGCACAGCACAGCACATTACAGTACAGCACATTTCAGTAAACTACATTACATTACATTACCTTACCCTACCTTACCTTACCTTACATTACATACATTACATACATTACATACATTACTTTACATTGCATCACAGTACAGTACAGTACATTACATTACGTTACACTATATGACATTACATTACATTACATTACTTTACATTACATACATACATACATAACTACATTACATACATTGACTACATTACATACATTACATACATTACATTACATTACGTTACATTGCATTACATTACATTACATACATTACATACATTGCAAACATACATACATACATGCATACAAACACAAATACCTGCATACATACGTGCATGCATACATACATGCATGCATACATACATACATTACATTACATTACATTACAGTACATTACAGTACATTACAGTACATTTCAGTACATTACAGTACATTACAGTACATTTCTTTACATTAAACTACATTTCATTACATCACATTGCATTACATTGCATATATACATACATTACATACATTACATACATACACACATTACATACATACATTACATACATACATTACATACATACATAGATTACATTACATCACATTACAGTACAGTACAGTACATTACATATATTCCATTTTTTACATTACATTACATTACACTACACTGCATTACATTACATTACATTACACTACATACAGTACAGTACAGTACAGGACAGGACAGTACAGTACATTGCGTTGCATTGCGTTGCATTGCATTACATTACATTACATACAGACATTAAATCATTACATACAAACATACATGCATGCATGCATGCGTACAAACATGCATGCATACATACACAACCATCTGCTTTCGCCAAACACCAGTCGCAGACCATTCCTTTCCATGGTCTGCACCGGCACCTTTGGACACACTGTCTCTAACGCCACGCACTTCATGCCGCTCGCCGCTTTTTATGGCGTGGGGCATGTTTTGTGTGTGGCTACACAACGCGCACATACACACATACACACCGTCATACATACACACACATAAACACAGACAGACATACAAACAACTCTCTCACACGCAAGTCTTTCATATATATATATATATCTGTCACCATCTGATATCTCTTTCCCGCCTTTCCCATTCCCTCTTCACCTCTTTTTGATGACTTATTGGAAGAAGTTGACATGTGGGGTGATCCGGTCCTTTAGTTTTTATAGACAAAGCTGTTCCACTCCTTCTCCACCAGCAACACCTTCCCCAGCTCTTACATCCCAACGTGGCAATAAAAGATCCAACACGGTTCCATTCATCCTGTGGGAGACAATGGTCGAACATGGGTGTTTTCAACTTTTTTTTGTTCCGCTTTTTGGGCTCGCAAAAATCAGCGCAGACCCAGAGATGGAAACCCAACAGTCATTGCTGTTGGGAACAAAACATCCCTTTGAACAGCGTCCAAAATTCGAACGCCGAGCCTTGAATCAAACACCGTCCGAGGAGTCTTCTTCCAGAGGCCCCACATCCAAATTTTTCCATGGCAATGTGTGGTCTCAACGGTGTGTAATAGCAAAGTGCACAATAATTCCAATCGCTGCCAAAGCGGCATTCACAAAGTAGTAGCTGTCTAAACTACCCTTGTCCAAGTCATTTGGGAAAAAAAGTTTTGAAACAAGGGCAGTAAAAGCATTCGACACAGAGCCCCGAAAGAAAAAATTGATGGCTTGGAGGAGGGATCGAACCTCTAGTGGAGCTGCTTCATATGCGAAGCAATACATTGATGGGTTGACCAGAATCTCTGCGATGCCAACAAATACAAATGGAATGAACATCCAAAATGCGCTGATGTCTTTCATTCGTGTCCCCTCTGTCCCATCTTCAGAGAAACCGGGGGCACAGTGAGAAAAGCCCGCATCACCACAGAGGAATGGAGCGTCTTTCCGCATGAACTCAAGAATGGCTGCAGCGACGTTGGAGATAGCTGCCATGACCAAACCCGCAACGATCTTCTGGCCGAAGCGGACTGGCGAGCCTTTCACGCGTGCAATCACCGGGTACAAGCAAAATTCAAAGATGGGAGTAAAGATGACAACCGCCATTGCATCTGCGACGTGGAAAAAGGCACCATTTAGCTGCATACTACCAATTCTCAGGTCCATTTGACAAGCTTGGGAAGGGAAAGCATTGCTCATCGAGTTGAAACAAAGGTTGAAGGCTATATTCACCACAATGATCGTCGGAATGGCTGCAAAGGTTCGACGTGCATCCTTTGCTCCGAAGTTCACCTCCTGCTTGAGTTCTTGCACCCAGGTGCAGTTGACATTGGCGACCTCAGGGATGGATTTGTGAAATTGCGACCATTTGGTGATGGAGCTGTCCACATAGACATGGCAATGGCAAAAAATCTGGCGTGGCTGACCTGTAAAATCATGGAGTTGTTTGCTTGGCAGTGTTGCAATAGTCACGTGCATTGAAATGTGTGTATGTGATCTCCCTGTGCTTTACCAGTGTGAAGGTGTGCTAAACATTTTGTAGTTTTAAGCCCTCGGGCACGACCTTTGGCTATATAGAAAACAATTTGCATCACTACATTTTGCCGAGCACGGTCCGGAAAATGGCACTGCAAAATTGCCTTGTCTTTCCTGTATACCCATCAACATGGGATGTTTTCAAACTAAATTTCCGAGTTACGGACGATGTTCAAGGGCAGTCTTGTCATCACAGTCAGTCAGTCAGTCAGCCAGTCAGTCCGTCAGTCTGTCAGTCCGTCAGTCCAGTCAGTCCATCAATCCGTCAGTCCGTCAGTCCGTCCGTCCGTCAGTCCGTCAGTCCGTCAGTCAAGTCAGTCAAGTCAGTCAAGTCAGTCAGTCCAGTCAGTCCAGTCAGTCAAGTCAGTCAAGTCAGTTAAATCAGTCAAGTCAGGTCAGTCAAGTCAGGTCAGTCAAGTCAGTCAAGTCAGTCAAGTCAGTCAGTCAGGTCAGTCAGGTCAGTCCAGTCAGTCCGTCAGTCCAGTCAGTCCAGTCACTCCAGTCAGTCCGTCAGTCCGTCAGTTCAATCAGTCAGTCACTCAGTCATTCAGTCACTCAGTCACTAAGTCACTCAGTCAGTCAGTCAGTCAGTCAGTCAGTCAGTCAGTCAGTCGTCAATCAGTCGCGTGTGAATTCAAAGGTGAAAACACGTTTGGGCGCCCATGTTTTTTTCGGGTAATGTGGCTCCTGGGGTCGCCGAAGTAGGGTCTCTGTTTTCGCAGTTGCGCGGCTCGATCCAAAAAGTCGTGGACAAAAAGCGCACGGGACTTGTAGCGAGAGCTCGGTTTTTGGGGCAGGTGACAGTGCTCCAAAATACCTTTCACGGACTCAAAGATCAGGATCGCGTCTTTCAGCATTGCGTTGGTGGAGTGGTGCAATGCTACATCATATTGCGTGCGGAACCACGCGTGGAAATCACGGAGGGCTGCCAAGCCCCGATTGATCAACGGCAAATTCTGCATGAAAGTTGGAGAAATAATTGCTGACATTGGGCGAGGTTCAGGCGTGACCAAACTGGTCGATGTCTCTGGAGGGCCCTCGGGCCATAACATTTGTTCAAGGATCACAAGGGAGTTCACTGCGGAACTCCAGAGATCGGAGATGCTTTCAAATAATCTGCACGGCCCAAGGTCTCGAGAATGACCCTGCATGAGGCGCTGATTTCTTCAAAATTGCGAATGTGGATGTCAGGTGCCACACGCATGTAAAGCGTGGCCATGGAGACAAAGACACTGAAGGCAACAATCTCAGTGTTCTGCATGGAGTGCAAATGGGTCGCTGGTGAACACTTGCGAAATTTGAATGGTCACTGCGATGACATAAGCAAGAGAAAATGCAGTCACATCGGCTTAAATGCACGGCTGCAATCACTGGAATGGATGTATCCCAGGGTGGGAAAGTATGCACGGGGGTGGGACAAAAATTTCCCTTGAAATGAAAAAAAGGTCACTGAATTTAAGGATTCATTGGCTTCACTGCATGACATGTTTCAAGAATCAAGTAAACGACTGTTACTGATTGTCAAGGATCAACTTGTTTGCACTGCATCTTCAAAACAACATGTGTTTTGTTTGGGCGATACACGGTTTGGATGATTTTTCATTCCAAGAGCCGGGCAAAAAGGTTTTTAACCCTAGGACCGGTTTTCTGTTTCATAGTTTTTGTGTTCATACTTTCTGCACGGTACAAGCTCGTTGAGAGCAGGGCATGGAGAGGAGAAAACCATAAAGAAAGGAGGAGGACTGGCGTGGCTCCAAAAAATTGTTTTTTCACAACCAACATTTTTTGTTTCCTCCACATTAGGATTTAATGCTCTATCAACGCGTTGACAATGTGCAAAAAACAAAAACGTAAAAAATTGACGGCCTCGGGACACTTTTGGAAGATGAGGTCGGAAGAATGTGCACGAGACTGTAGCGCGAGCTCGATTTCATGGGAAAAAAGGAAAAAACTGACGGGCCCGGAGAAGCGCCGGATTTGCGCGGTCAAGTTCCCATTGTCAGCGCTGCGCAAACGCTGGTCGATATGTTGCACCGCTCCTGCGGTTTGCACCGTACGGGTTGCGACCAAACGCATTGGCACGACTGCGCGCAGGAAAGAATTGAGTGACGCCGCGACGCTCCTGGCGAGAGCGATTGCAGCTGGAAGCTGCTAAACGCATTGTAACAGCTGCACGAAACGTGGTTTCTGAGCACAGTGCCAGTCTTGCGCTGTGCGGGATTGCAGCTGCAGGTGTCTGAACGCAATCATCATCGTCATCGTCATCGTCATCACCATCATCAGCAGTGTCAAGTTAGGATTATTAGTTCCTCCAGATCTTTGGTGTTTACTCCCGTTTATTTTTAATTGGGGTTACAGTTTCCGGAGTTTATCAATTTCTGACCCTGTCCTGTTCAAGGTGGACATTCATTACTTGTAGTTATATCACATACAAGTTGATATAACTAGAACAGAAAAACAACTAAGGTATACGCGCCAAACTGAACCAATTACAAACATATATATATATATAGTGTTCCAAAAGAAGATAGAATTTTTTCCGACCCCGGCGCCGAAGTCGAAACGGCTAGTAGAATTTTGGGCTTGCCGAAGTCGAAACGGTCAGTAGAATTTTGGGCAAAATGTTTTCGATTTGGACCCTGTAGTTTTCAATCCACGTGTTTGGGCACGAAACAACGCAAATAGCATGGGGATACAGAAGATAGAAAAGGACAAATAGGTGAAAAACAAAGCGTACACTGATTTGTCTCCACCATCTACCCAGAGAATTCAGAACAACAGCTCAAGGCTATCGGAAGTGGGGAAAAAGGGCCACCTGTTGTCTCAGCTGACTTTTCTATCTTTTATATCGCGTGTAAATTTACAGGTAAGAGTGTCAAATCAAGATAAATATTGAACATAATAAAATCTGATTTTTGGGGTTGCAACTTTTCTATCTTCTGTATCGTACTGCTATTTCCAGGCAGAATGCACTCCAAAGATTATAATTTATATGATTTGTGGGAAAATACAGTCGATACAGAAGATAGAAATCTGGTAAGTTAGTAGAAATTCTACTACCGTTTTCGGGGTTGTAACTTTTCTATCTTCTTTTGGAACACTATATATATATAAACAGGTAACCTAATAACGCTAGGTTAATACAAAGCACTTCGAAATCCGTTCTTTTCAATGCCCCCTTCACCATTGGAGTTCGGACTTATTAATTGATTTCTTCCGCGTTTCATTGCTGGATTATTTGTCGAAGTTTCAGACATGTTGTCTGGTTCACCCATCTATGTCAATGGGACCTAACATCTCACCCAAATCGAAGCTATTGACATTTGATGGATAAGACCGCCATAGTTCCCCCTTTATGAAAGTGGGATTATCCAGCAATGAAAAAGGACGGGATGGAGCAGCTCGCATACTGTACAAGTTCGGAAGAGTGACGGATGCTGTCTGGGAAGTTCCCATGGGATCTGGACATCGGAGGGAAACAATTTCGGATGCTGTTCCAATTGCCACAGTTGAGGCAGTGTCAAGGAAAATCGATCATGAAGCAAGAAATGATGAGGAGGGTCTCCCTCACCGTTCCATCTGCTGAGAGAATCTGCGTAGTCATTGTCATGACCTGGAATATGAGAGACATCTACTTCGACATTGGAGCTGGAAATCAGCAAGCTCAATTTTTCCAGGAAAAGTGCAATGGGCATTTGAGTCGAAAATAACTTGTTAGAGACTGCTTCAGCTGTGGTATTGTCAGAGAGTGTCGGGATTCTTATGGGGATCTGTGAACCTGGAAAGACTTGAATGGTAATATATACCAAAGCAATTTGTGCGAGTGTCTCCAAGCTTGAAATATCTTTTTGGAGGTTATCGTGAACTCGGATTGTAAATTGGAGAAGTCCTGGAAAGTCAGGGGAAGAGAAAACCATGAACATTGTCCTGACGGAAAAATGATGGCTCCCCCCAAGCCACATTTGGTGCCTGCAGCATACGCGTCCGCGACACAAAGCCCAGGCTACGGGTGGTAATTGACCTATACATGCGCCGGATGCGAGTGGAAGATGAGGTTAATTTTCTTTTGAAGAATTGGGATCCCGAATACGCAACCAAATTCTCTTGCCTGACAGAGCGCATGAAAACAAGTCCGATTTAGTGGATACTGCTTGGTGCCTGACCTGAATTAAATGGCCATTAATGGGAATGGCTGAAAAAGGTGGCTTACGCAGGAAGGTTAAGTTATCGGACAGGCAGTTACACACTTCCTCCCATGTTCCCGGGTCAACAGAAAATTGGCTAGCGGGAATGGCATGCAAATCTCGATAAAGATAATGGAGCCATGTGCGCATGGCTGGCCATAGCTGGGTTACCCAGAATGCCAGACCTAAAAATTTCTCCAGGGATTTTTTGGAACAATGGGAGGATGACAACAATTTGTGAATCAATTCGGGAAGTTTGTCCTTTTTCTGTTTGGGCAATAAAATGAATCCTGCTTGAATATGAAATTCCCAACCGATCCAAATTATGGTGGCGCCCATTTCGCACTTCTTCCATGAGATGGGAAGGCGGATCAACATGCACAGAATGGCAATGACTGCAGCACTAAGCCCAATAATGGATGACTCCTGAAACATCAGGAGATCACCCACATAGAGAAAGGATGCATGGGGCAAGTAGCACACTCGATGGAATATCCGCTGGAAGGCACCTCCTAAGCGGGACCAAAAATGAGCACTGACTACTGCACCAAAGGGGCATACTTTATAAAAGTAAATTCGACCTTTGAACCTGAAACACAGCAAACCCCGATAGCGAGG